GGCATCCCAAGATTTTGCATACTCTAGAAGGATGCAGTCATTGAAAAGAGTTTGAGAAACAGTGCGATACATCGACTTCTGTTGAATAAATAAATTGGAAAACTTTTTTTGATCAGTGGCTGTATCCACCTCATCTGTGTGGATGGAGGAATTCGTCTTCTTTGTTTTTTCATTCAGTTTACTGGCTGAGCAAAAAAAAAAAAAAATATAAAATAAAATTTAAAAAAAAAACACTCATCTATGGCCATCACTAGTGTCTTTGCATTCAAAGGATGGGCAGAAACATTGCATAAATAGTCAATTGCTTCCTTCCCTTTTCTCAATGAGTAGACAAAGTATGGCCCTGTTGTGAACAGAATATCTGAGAAGATGAAACGCATCCAACACTCAGCTTTTGGCCCTAGGGAGACCCTAAATGGCTAGATCCTTGCTTTAGGCATTACATCAGACCATCCCAAATCACAAGACCAAACATCTTCCCTAATGATGTTCTGTACAATTCCATGGCTTCTATGTGGACATCAATCAGCGTATTGCACACCTGACACTTGCTGAATTGCACATTGTAGAGCTTAACACTAGGTGCGGGAAACTTCTACTAAGGGACGTTGAGACTGACAAGGTGCAATAAAGACAATGAGCAACCACAACCTTACAGAACACTAATTTTTTGGCACTATAGAAATAGAGTTATAAAAGAGAATGCTGAATAATAATGAATACAATTTGCATTCAAAAAGCTGCATAATGTGCAATTATATGTAGGCAAACACACTGCAATTCGACAGGAGTTTGGGGAGTCGTTAACGTAAAGTGGAACTTCACCCTAAAGGGGAAGTTCTGCTTTATGCACTTTTTTTTGGCACTTTTTTTGGAGAGGGGAGGGGAGAGGAAAAAGCATGTACCCGCTCCAACTTATGGTCACAGAGCAGCAATTAATGGAAGTTCTCCAGCTCCAACCAATCCGCCTGCCCTCCCTCCGCTTGTAACATTCTGGGACATGTCACAGGTCTCCAAAGCCTGCGGGACCATTCACAAAGTGCAGCTTGGCTTGCCCATGCACGGGCAGCCGGCTGTGAAGCCACAAGGATCACAGCCGGCTGCTCACAGTAAACATGCCGGAGACCGGTGAAGAACGGTAGCTGCTGACTTTTTTTTTTTCAAATCAAACAGAGCAAAGAACCATGTTAACAATGACGCCGCTGCAGATCGCAACTGCAGTGCATTTTGATGTGAACGGGCCCCTAAAAGTAAGCCCTGCTACTTTGCACTGTATGGTAAACAGGGCCGTGGATAAGGGGGTACCACCAGTCCTCCTGTACGGGGTCCAGGCTAGCAAGGGGGCCCAGGCTGCTGAGTGAATTGGATGTGGGCAGGGAGGGTGATCGGCACGGCTGAGGGGCAATTACTGGAACTGATCCCCTGTATGGCTCTCTCTGCAGCAGCTGAAAGTTGGCTTCTTCTTCTATCCCTCCCAATGGCTTTCAGCTGCTGCAGAGAGCCATACAAGGGATCGATTGCAGTAACTGCCTCCCCGCCATGTGCATCACCCTCCCTATACACCATACATTTCCCTCTGCTGGCCAGGCCCGTGTGCCCCCACCCCGGCTTCCCTCCTCTCCTTCTCACCGGCAGCTTCAAGCACACAATAGGATCCTTGAGGATGGAGAGTGGGGGAAGGGTCTGGTAAAATATGTCACATTTATCAGCCCCTTCCTTCCCTGAATGAACAGTTAACGATCGGTACCAATAACTCATCGTGTTCATTCATAGCTGAAGAATAGTAACTGTGTACTTTTTTTTGGGGGGGGGGGGCTGTCAGGTTGGCTGTATGGGGCCCCCTTGTATCTAACAGCAGCCCTGATGGTAACGCACAGGTCCACTTTGACTGTGGCTATGGTATTAAGACAACTTCATCTTGGGTTGCAGAGACTTTTGTGTGAATTTTGAAGCATTCTCTGTAAAACCCTCTTGAATATGCTGCAAAAATGGGAATTTAAAAAAAAAAAAATATTGAAGAAAGAGGGCAGATGATTAAATCTCATCATCCTCAGATTATCTAGTGTGCGGAGGACCACCGGGGCTCTAATAGTCCAGGAAATCTCAGCCCTGGGGCAAGGCGATATCTTGTTAGTGATCATCTGCTCTCCTGCACAGTTACTTATAGTGATCTGAGTCCCTAATGAGACACAATAAGGGAACGTCAACCATGGATGCAGAAACACAGGAGGGCAGGAGCGCCGATATACAGGCAGGAGGCAGGGTAGGATGAGCAGCCGTTAGGGGTCATCACTAATTGAATCCACTGGGATCTCTTGCCTACAAAGAAGAGTATGTTCTTCTTCTGCACACTGAGCAATCCTCACAGGTCTGCCTATTAAAGGCATTTAACAGAAAGCATTTCACTACTTCAAATCAGGAGCCATAAACATGCTCGGTCATTGAACAACGCGTATTTGATTCCTAAAGGGGAAGACTTATATTATTATTATTATTATACAGGATTTATATGGCGCCAACAGTTTGCTCAGCGCTTTACAATATAACGGGAAACAATACAGTAACAATACAGTTCAATACAAGAGGGATAGGAGGGCCCTGATCCTTGGAGCTTACAATCTAGGAGGGAGGGGTTAATGGTACAATAGGTAATAACTGTGGGGGATGGAGTGGTTGGAAGAGTAGAGGATTCCAGTATTAGCAGAGGGTGGGGTAGGCTTCCCTGAAGAGATAGGTTTTCAGTGATCGCCTAAAAGTCAGCAGAGTAGGCGATAGTCTAATAGATTGGGGTAGGGAGTTCCAGAGGATGAGGGAAGCCCTGCAGAAGTCCTGGAGACAAGGAAGCTAGAGAGTAGGAGGTCTTGCGAGGAGCGGAGAGTACGGTTTGGGTGATATTTAGAGACAAGATCAGTTATGTAATTTGGGGCGGAGTTATGAACGGCTTTATATGTCAGTGATAGTGACATGTACCTTGACCGTAGAATTTCAGTGGCACCTCCAGAATAAAGCACTAGGCAAAAAAGACAAAGCACAGCCTAGGGACAGCCCCTACTAGGCCAAACCCTTAACCCATCTGCTATAGGACAGCCATGTTTTTAGTCTAGTATCTAGGAGTAAGGACCTAGCTTCCCCATCAGCAATAAAAAGGGGGGGGGCAGCCTTCCCCATCAGCAATGATAAGGGGGGGGTAGCCTTCCCCATCAGCAATGATAAGGAAAGGGGGGGCAGCCTTCCCCATCAGCAATGATAAGGAAAGGGGGGGCAGCCTTCCCCATCAGCAATGATAAGGAAAGGGGGGGCAACCTTCCCCATCAGCCATGATAAGGAAAGGGGGGGCAGCCTTCCCCATCAGCCATAAGGAAAGGGGGGGCAGCCTTTCCCATCAGCCATGATAAGGAAAGGGGGGGGCAGCCTTCCCCATCAGCCATGATAAGGAAAGGGGGGGGCAGCCTTCCCCATCAGCCATGATAAGGAAAGGGGGGGCAGCCTTCCCCATCAGCCATAAGGAAAGGGGGGCAGCCTTCCCCATCAGCCATGATAAGGAAAGGGGGGCAGCCTTTCCCATCAGCCATGATAAGGAAAGGGGGGGCAGCCTTTCCCATCAGCCATGATAAGGAAAGGGGGGGCAGCCTTCCCCATCAGCCATGATAAGGAAAGGGGGGCAGCCTTTCCCATCAGCCATGATAAGGAAAGGGGGGGCAGCCTTCCCCATCAGCCATGATAAGGAAAGGGGGGGCAGCCTTCCCCATCAGCCATGATAAGGAAAGGGGGGGCAGCCTTCCCCATCAGCCATGATAAGGAAAGGGGGGCAGCCTTTCCCATCAGCCATGATAAGGAAAGGGGGAGGCAGCCTTTCCCATCAGCCATGATAAGGAAAGGGGGGGGGGTATCCCTCCAATACTGAACATCTGAAAGCCTGAGATATCACAAAACTGTCCAATGGAAAAGCAGGATACGGTTTCCAAATGAGATGACACAAAAGAGTTCATTTTGGAGATGGATGAAGTAAAAATATGATATCTTGAAGATTCACAGATGCTGAGGTTTTTTGACTTTGGACTTTGAGGGGAGAAAATATGACTTTTTGTGCGTCTAGGGTGTTTAATTATAATTTAGATAGCAATTTTGTGGGCACACCGATTTCTGTATTCATTTATATGTATTGAAATATATTGAATACGGCCAAAATTGTAGCATTTCAAATATATGTCAATATATTTGGGAAGAATATTTTTAAAATATATTTCAAATAAATTTTTCTTCCCTATGGGTTCTGTCTGTGATTCCAAATAGTCGGTGTGATTGGGGCCTAAAGATTAAAAATAAAAAAAAGAGAAAAATGTGACCACTACCATGCGTTATTACAACGTATTGCTATGCAGGTGGACAACCGACAACAGCAGGCACATGTTAAGCACAGCATAACATACAGCCACTGGTGTGAACAATCCCTCAAAGAGAACCTAATCACAAACTTAAAAAAACTGCAGACTTTTAAATGCTTACTTGCAGTGTTTGTCCTTTCCATAATTTATGTCTTGAATTTCGCACCATTAGTGGGCCACAGCATCAGCCAATTTTCATGTGGCTGTCGAATTTGAGTAATCGAACATGATGGAAATTTTTTGAAAAACAAATGAATTTCTAATTTAGGCCCCATGTACACAAGACACTTCTGAATGATGGAAACTAACTGCTGGAAAACAGGTGATAAAACGTCTGTTTAGCAGCGTTTGCATAACGCGTTTATGTGCGTTTGCATTTGGAAATGTTATTTAAAGATAAGCACAAGAGAACCTCCCAAATGCCCAGAATGCACTGAAAAGTGGTAACTTACTATTTCAGACTGTTTCAGAGAAATACAGAGAGTAGAAGCAGAGACAGCAGTATGTGTTGAGATTAGCTTAGGTGTAAGTTGCTTATTGACATTTCTTTTGTTTCCAAGAGTGGGAAAGGTGTCTGGTGGAGTGAGTGATTAAGGTCACCTGGCAGCAGGTCTTCATGAGGAATTTGAGGTGTGAAAAGTCATTAACATATCTTGTTTCCAAGGGTGGAAGAGGTCTGAGGTGTGAATTGGTCATTACAATGTGTGACAAGCTTGGTAGGAACATCCTGTGTTCAGTGTTTTGTCCATCTGAGTACCTTGAAAATGCTTTGCATGCATTTTTCATGATGAAAAAAGGCTCTGGACAGCAACTGGAAATGGAAGAGTTGAAAAAAAAAAATTCAACCGCTTATAAACGCGATTTGCCGCGTTTACAAGCGGTTTGCATTTGAAACGCTGATAAAATCGACTGCTGAACGCAAGTTTGGTGCGTTCAAAAAAACGACTGTAAACTCAACTGCCTGTAAACGACTGTAAACGAAGATGTATACATGGACACATAGGAAACATTAGGGGGAGTTCAGGGGATGCTGAAAAAAACTCTGAACAGCTCCTAAATATGAGTATATCAGCTGCAGTGCACAAGAGCCCTAACAATGGGGGAATTGTGCAAGAAATGTAACTGAAAAAGATATGAGCATGAGCTGTGACCTGGGAAGAAAAAAAGATTCACATCCACAAAATTATTTTCTGTAGCAATATGAGGTGAAATTGAAGGCTTGGTTGGTCGAATTTCAAAATCAATGGTGGCACCATCGGGTCACAAAACACACATTTCCGATTTTCTAAAGAAAATTCATTCAGATCTCGACCTGTGTATGACCTGCCTAGGAGTCTGCTGGGGCCAATGACATCACATGCAAGATGGCGGCGCCCAGCAGCAGTCCTAAGGCTTGTGGATGGCTACACAAGAGAAGTGATTATGGCTAAATAACATCCATCAGGCAAATTGAATCCACAAAATCTTATTGTAAGATTGTTGATGAAATGAATGGTCTGGCAACAGGGCCCCTTTAAAATGGAATAGAACCAGTACATGTCAAGAATGTTAAAGATGAACTTCATATATACTAGGGGGGTACAACTGGGGGAATCAATGGTGGAGAAGGAATCTGGGAGTTCTGATAGATCACAAGCTTAATAATGGCATGCAATGCCAAGCTGCGGTTTCTAAAGCGAGCAAAATCCTCTCTTGTATTAAAAGAGGTATAGACTCCAGAGAGAGAGATATCATTTCCCCCGGTACAAATCATTAGTAATACCTCATCTGGAATATGCAGTTCAGTTTTGGACACCAATTCACAAAAAGAACATTGGGGAACTGGAGAAAGTACAGAGAAGGGCAACCAAACTGATACGAGGCATGGAGGAGATCAGCTATGAGGAAAGATTAGAGGAACTGAATGTATTCTCTCTTGAGAAGAGGAGATTAAGGGGGGGTATGATCTCCATGTATAATACATAAGGGGGATGTGATCTCCATGTATAATACATAAGGGGGGATGTGATCTCCATGTATAATACATAAGGGGGGATATGATCTCCATGTATAATACATAAGGGGGGATATGATCTCCATGTATAATACATAAGGGGGGATATGATCTCCATGTATAATACATAAGGGGGATATGATCTCCATGTATAATACATAAGGGGGATATGATCTCCATGTATAATACATGTATAATACATAAGGGGGATATGATCACCATGTATAATACATAAGGGGGATATGATCTCCATGTATAATACATAAGGGGGGATATGATCCCCATGTATAATACATAAGGGGGGATATGATCTCCATGTATAATACATAAGGGGGGATATGATCCCCATGTATAATACATAAGGGGGGCATATGATCTCCATGTATAATACATAAGGGGGGGATATGATCTCCATGTATAATACATAAGGGGGGATATGATCTCCATGTATAACACATAAGGGGGGATATGATCTCCATGTATAATACATAAGGGGGGATATGATCTCCATGTATAATACATAAGGGGGGATATGATCTCCATGTATAATACATAAGGGGGGATATGATCTCCATGTATAATACATAAGGGGGGATATGATCTCCATGTATAATACATAAGGGGGGATATGATCTCCATGTATAATACATAAGGGGGGATATGATCTCCATGTATAATACATAAGGGGGATATGATCTCCATGTATAATACATAAGGGGGATATGATCTCCATGTATAACACATAAGGGGGGATATGATCTCCATGTATAATACATAAGGGGGGATTGGATCTCCATGTATAATACATAAGGGGGGATACGATCTCCATGTATAATACATAAGGGGGGATACGATCTCCATGTATAATACATAAGGGGGGATATGATCTCCATGTATAAATACATCAGTGGTTCATATAGTGAACTCGGTGTAGAGTTATTCACCCTGAGGTCATCACAGAGGACAAGGGGGCACTCTTTACATCTGGAGGAAAGGAAATATAATCTCCAAACATGAAAAGGTTTCTTCACAGTAAAAGCTGTGAAAATGTGGAATAGACTCCCTCAAGAGTTGGTTCTGGCCAGCTCAGTGGATTGCTTCAAAAAAGTCCTGGATTCTTTCTTAGATACACAGAATATAACTGGATATAACATTTATAGGTAAATTTGATCCAGGGAATATCCGATTGCCTCTCGGGGGATCAGGAAGGAATTCTTTCCCCTGCAGAAGCAAATTGGATCATGCTTTGCTTGTTTTTTTTGCCTTCCTCTGGATCAACTGTGGGTATAGGATAACTTTTTTTTTTTTTTTTTTTTTTAATGGTTGAACTGGAAGGACTTTTGTCTTTTTTCAGCCAGAGTAACTATGTAACACTCCTGTTTAAAAAAAAAAAGCAGTCAGCAGCTGCAAATATTGTAGTTGCCAACCATTAAAAAAAACAGACAACTAACAGCCTAGGAGTCCAGTGCTATCGTCACTAAAGTTGATTCTTCACTAGGCTTCGGATCCCCTGTACCACCATCTTGGATGTGGGAGAAAGCTGTGACTTCCTGCTGTCTGACAGCTCCCAACTGAGCATGCATGAGATCATCAGGTTAGGGGCGTGCCAAGCTGACATCATTCTTGCCTAAGCGAGAACTGCGGAAGTGGGAATGGGTACTGGTCAGAAAAAGGTACCCACTTGCAGAACAAAAGAAAAAAAAAAAACACCAATTTTGTAAGAGTTGGGATTTGGGGGGGGGGGGGGGTGACACCAGCATAACAGTGTCCTCAGCCCTCAAGTACATTCTTTAGATCAGGGGTCTCCCAACTTTCTAAATAAAGGGCCAGTTCACTGTTCTTCAGACTTTAGAGGGGCCGGACTGTGGCCATTGGGAGTAGAAATTGTCCTGGTGTCAGTGGGAGTAAACAATGCATCGTTGGTGTCAGTGGGAGAAATATTGCCTCATTGTCGGTGTCAATGGAAGGAATAGTGCCCCACTGTTGATGTCAGTAACGGCAATTATGCCCCACTGTTGGTGGCAGTGGGAGAATTAGTGACTTGCATCAGTGAGAGGTAAAGTGCCCCAAGGGCTGGATAAAGTAAAAAAAGGGCCACATTTGGCCCCCAGGCCACAGTTTGGAGACTACTGCTTTAGATGAACATATGCCAATCAACTCTGTTCCTGTGAGCTATGTGGAGGGAGGTGTGTCTCTTCCTTCCAATCAGCTCTCAGAGTTCTCCTCGCTGAGCTGTAATTTCAGCTTCCCGCCTCCTGTTTTCTGAAAGCTCAGACAAGCTGTATAAATTCTTCACTTTGAATGGATGTAGAGAAGAGAAGATTGGAGACAAACAGGCACAACTTATGTATAAGGATTTGTTTCATCTCTGTATTTCACCTGAGCCTAGTCATTCACTGGATGTATGTACGGGTTTACAAGCACTTTAATCCAGATGAAATACAACAGAACTGGTCTATTTCCTATAATATATTTCCAGGCTGCCGTGTAACAGCTGGACCATCAGATCCCACTGAACATAGACACAGACGTGGCAGCTGCCGGCCAAGTGTGAAATCAATGCAATGTCCGTAAAAGCTCCAGTTCTAGAGCAATTTATAGCAACTGAATACGTCAATACAAATCTGATTATTCTCACTACTACGACGTGTCGATGTCTGTGCCAATTGTATAGATTAGCCCGAAAATAAAATAAAAGGGAACATCAGGTTACAAGTCTTTTTGCTCACGTGAAAGTCACGCTGCTGGCAGAGAGGAAAGAGAACTCACAGAACGATCTGTTCCTAAAGGGTCAGCCCAACCCGGTGACAGGTACTCTTCATACTGACATACTATTGTACTGTAGGCTGCACACTATGACCCGGTGACAGGTACTCTTCATACCACACTATTGTACTGTAGGCTGCACACTATGACCCGATGACAGGTACTCTTCATACCATACTATTGTACTGTAGGCTGCACACTATGACCCGGTGACAGGTACTCTTCATACCACACTATTGTACTGTAGGCTGCACACTGACCCGATGACAGGTACTCTTCATACCATACTATTGTACGTAGGCTGCACACTATGACAGATATTAGGTACTCTTCATACCACACTATTGTACTGTAGGCTGCACACTATGACCCGATGACAGGTACTCTTCATACCACACTATTGTACTGTAGGCTGCATACTATGACCCGATGACAGGTACTCTTCCTACCACACTATTGTACTGTAGGCTGCACACTATTATTCGGTGACAGGTACTCTTTACACCACACTATTGTACTGTAGGCTGCACACTATGACCCGATGACAGGTACTCTTCATACCACACTATTGTACTGTAGTCTGCACACTATTATTCAGTGACAGGTACTCTTCATAGCACACTATGACCCGGTGACAAGTACTCTTCCTAGCACACTATTGTACTGTAGGCTGCACACTATTATTCGGTGACAGGTACTCTTCATACCACACTATTGTACTGTAGGCTGCACACTATTATTCGGTGACAGGTACTCTTCATACCACACTATTGTACTGTAGGCTGCACACTATGACCCGATGACAGGTACTCTTCATACCACACTATTGTACTGTAGTCTGCACACTATTATTCAGTGACAGGTACTCTTCATAGCACACTATGACCCGGTGACAAGTACTCTTCCTAGCACACTATTGTACTGTAGGCTGCACACTATTATTCGGTGACAGGTACTCTTCATACCACACTATTACTGTAGGCTGCACACTATTATTCGGTGACAGGTACTCTTCATACCACACTATTGTACTGTAGGCTGCACACTATTATTCGGTGACAGGTACTCTTCATACCACACTACTGTACTGTAGGCTGCACACTTATTCCC